TTTATTTATTTGTGTAAATCAATGGAGGGGAATGTGGGTCGTATGTCTAGCTTCAATGGAAGCAATTGGATAACTTGGAAAACTAAAATGGAGGATCTATTATTTTGTAAAGATTTGTATGGGCCTATTGAGGGTGATAGTGGCAAACCCGAAGGTATGAAAGATGATGAATGGAAGAGGCTTAATCAAAAAGCCGTTGGTGTCATCTGTCAATGGATAAATGACAGTGTGTTTCATCATGTTGCAACTGAAACTTTGGCACATGATTTATGGAAAAAATTAGAGAGTCTTTATGATAGAAAATTAGCCACAAATAAAGCTTTTCTGTTTCGTAAGTTGGTTAATTTAAAATATAAAGAGGGCAGCCCTATTCCGGAACATCAGAATGAAATAAAGAGTATTGTTAACCAACTTGCTTCTATGAAAATTGTTTTTGATGATGAGTTGCTAGCTTTGATGCTACTTAGTTCTTTGCTCGAAAGTTGAGAGACTTTGGTTGTGACCGTTAGTAATTCGGCGCGCGATGGAGTTGTCACAATGGGCCAAGTCACTAGTAGCCTGTTGAATGAAGAAACTAGAAGAAAATTGGCGGGTTCCTCTCATTCGGAAGCATTCGTTATGAGAGGCCGAAGCAAAACAAGGAGGAGTAAGACTCCTCATGGTCGTGATCAAAGCCGTGACAAATCAAAAGATGGTTCTTTTTCAAAGAAAGACATTGAGTGCTATTATTACCATGAGAAAGGGCACATGAAGCGAGAATGCCAAAACTCAAGAACAAGAGAAAAGGCGTGACAAAAGTGTGGATAAGAAGCAAGAAGACACAACGGCAGGTTACTACCAATGGTGATCTCATGGTCGTTTGTGAAGATGATTGTATCAATTTTGTAGGCCAAGAGAGCAATTGGGTGATTGATTTCGGTGCTTCTTTTCATGTGACTTCTCGAGTTGATTTCTTCACTACCTACACCAAAGTAGATTATGGTTTTGTTCGAATGGGTAATGAAGGTTTGTCCAAGATTATTGGCATGGGTGATGTTTGCTTGGAAACAAATTTGGGTTGCAAGTTGTTGCTTAAAGGTGTGAGGCATGTTCCCGACATTCGCCTCAATTTGATCTCTACTGGGAAGCTAGATAATGAAGGCTTCAACAACAAATTTGGTGATGGAATATGGAAGCTCCCAAAGGGTTCTTTGGTGGTGGCTTAGTGCAAGAAGACTCATACACTTTATTCGATGCAAGGAAAAATTTGTAAAGATGTTGTCAATGCACTTAAAGATGATACTTCTACCGAATTGTGGCACAAGCGGCTTGGCCACATGAGTGAAAAGGGGCTGCAAGTTTTGTTCAAGAAAGAGCTTCTACCCGGTTTGAAAGGTACACATCTCAAAACTTGTGTTCATTTTTTGGCGGGTAAACAACATAGAGTTTCTTTTCATAAAAATGTTGTTTCTAGAAAAGAAAATATTTTGGAGTTGATTCATTCGGATGTTTGTGGTCCTTTGAAAGTTAGATTACATAGTGGTGCACTTTATTTCGTTACTTTCATTGATGATTATTCAAGGAAAGTTTGGGCTTTTCTACTAAAAATTAAAGATCAAGTTCTAGAAGTATTTAAGCATTTTCAGGCCATGGTTGAAAGAGAAACAGGGCAGAAATTGAAGTGCATCCGATCAGACAATGGTGGTGAATACATTGGGCCATTTGATGAGTATTGTCGCAGCCAAGGTATTCGGCACCAAAAGACAGTTAAGAAGACTCCTCAACAAAGTGGCGTTGCCGAGAGGATGAATCGCACCATTGTGGAAAGAACAAGGTGTTTGCTTTCACAAGCTAAATTGCCAAGATCCTTTTGGGGTGAGGCAATGAGTACAGCGGTTGACGTGATCAATTTGTCTCCTTGCTATCCTTTGAATGGTGATGTTCCAGAAAGAATTTGGACTGGCAAAGATATATCTTATGAGCACTTGAGAGTGTTTGGTTGCCGAGCTTTTGTTCACATTTCAAAGGATGAGAGGTCCAAGCTTGATAGTAAGTCAAGACAATACATTTTTCTTGGCTATAGGCGTGACGAGTTTGGTTATAGATTGTGGGATCCGGTCGACAAGAAAGTTATTCGAAGCCGTGATGTTGTATTTCTTGAAGACCAAACAATTGAGGACTTTGGCAAAGGTAATCAACCGGAGCCAAAAACTAGTGACCTCATTGACATGGATCCATCTCCTTCATCTTCAGTTGATGATGAAAATGGGGGAGATATGCAGCCACCTATTGAAGATGTGGAGGATGCTGCTAATCCTAATGAAGTTGAGCCAGAAATTGAGGAAAAGCATCCAACTCAAGAACCGCCACCACAACTTGAGTTAAGAAAATCTACAAGGGACCGACAACCTTCAAGAAAGTATCCTCCCAATGAATTTGTATTGATTTCTGATCAAGGGGAGCCTGAGAGTTACCAAGAAGCAATTGAGCATGCAAAGAAAGGTGATTGGAAAAAGGCCATGGAAGAGGAGATGAATTCCTTACTTGAAAATCACACTTATGATTTAGTGAAGTTGTCTAAGGGGAGAAATTTTTTGAAAAATAAGTGGGTCTTCAAATTGAAAAATGATGGCAAGAATCTGAGGTACAAAGCACGTCTTGTTGTAAAAGGCTTTAGGCAAAAGAAATGTATTGATTTTGATGAAATTTTCTCGCCAGTTGTGAAGATGTCTTCTATTCGGGTTGTACTTGGCATGATTGTAAGTATGAACCTTGAAGTTGAGCAACTTGATGTGAAGACCGTATTTCTTCACGGCGATCTTGAAGAAGAAATTTACATGGAGCAACTGGAAGGTTTTGTAGAGAAAAGGAAAGAGAAATTTGTTTGCAAATTGAAGGAAAAATTGTATGGCCTCAGGCAAGCCCCGCGGCAATGGTACAAAAAATTTGACTCTTTCATGATGAATAATGGTTTTTCTAAATCCACTTCGGACCATTGTGTGTTTGTGAAAAATTTTCCGGATGGTAAATTTATTATTCTTTTGCTTTATGTTGATGACATGTTAATTGTGGGTCAAGATTCTACCATGATAAACAGGTTGAAATTGGAGTTGAGCAAGTCTTTTACTATGAAAGATTTGGGGCCGGCAAAGCAAATTCTTGGTATAAAAATTGTTCGTGATCGCAAAGAGGGGTTGATTTGGTTGTCTCAAGAAAACTACATTGAGAAAGTTCTTGAGAGGTTCAACATGAATAAAGTAAAGCCGGTTGGTTGTCCACTTGCAGGTCACTTCAAGCTTAGTTCGAATCAATGTCCTACAAGTGAGAAAGACAAAGAAGAGATGTTGAAAGTTCCTTATGCTTTAGCAGTTGGCTCTTTGCTGTACGCCATGGTTTGTACAAGGCCGGATACTGCTTATGCCGTTGGTGTGGTGAGTCGTTTTCTCTCTAATCCAGGTAAAGAACATTGGGCAGCGATAAAATGGATTCTAAGGTATCTTCGAGGGACTTCGAAGGTATGTTTGTGTTTTGGGGATAGTAAACCGATGCTTGATGGGTTCACAGATTCTGACATGGCCGGTGATATTGATTCTAGGAAATCTACTTCGGGGTATTTGATGACTTTTACAGGATGAGCTGTGGCATGGCAATCTAAATTACAAAAATGTGTTGCTCTCTCAACTACCAAAGTTGAATTTATTGCCATTACAGAAGCTTGCAAAAAAGAGTTATGGTTGAAGAAATTTTTGCAAGAATTGGGTTTGAAGCAAGAAAAGTATGTACTTTATTATGATAGTCAAAATCCTATTCATTTGAGTAAAAATTCTACTTTTCATTCGAGATCGAAACACATTGATGTGAGATACCACTGGATTCGTGATGTGTTAGATTCGAAATTGTTGCAACTCGAAAAGGTTCACACGGATGGTAATATTTCAGATATGTTGACTAAGACTTTGTCGAGGGACAAACATTTAAAGTGTCGAACTTTGGCTAGTATGGTTGATGTCTCCACCTAAGTCGGTAGGGGAGAATTGTTGGGATATACCTCTTTATTGGAGTTTGAGACCCAATTAGTTTTGGTTAAAGAATTTTAATTTGGTTTGGTTTAGGTATAATATATTTTTATATTATATCTAATTTATGGAGACCTAATTCAATTTGATAACAATTAGGATTTGATTACAAAATTCAATACCCAACTATATATATATACATATATATTTGGTATTGTTGTTCTTAAGGAAAAAAAGAGGTACAACTGCTAGTGCACTTTTCGGGGTCCGTGCTCATTAACTCATCTTTGATGGGTTTTTGGTTATTGAGTGGTAGTGCTTGAATTCAACCTCTGTGGATTTGATTCGACAGCCGTTGTGCATTTGATTTGGGTATTATTTTGGATCTTCTTCAACTTTGATTCTGAAGATTTTGGTTCATCTATTTGGTGAGGTCTTTCCTCTTATTTATTTGTGATTATTTGGAATTCACCTAAGGATGGTTTTGTGAGACCATTCGTGTCTCGTTTGTAATCGTTTGGAACTTATTTGGTTGATAGTGGAATTGGATTTCAATCCCGTGGACGTACCTTACATCGAGGGAACCACGTAAAAATTCTTGTGTTGCTTTTGATTTAATTTTTCCGCATTAGTTTTTATTCCCATTGATTGATTTACTTGTGGGAATCACATATTTTTCCTAACAGTTATGTGGTGGTCTTGGGGCATGACTAGGTAGTGTCCAGAAATATTGTGATTGGCAGAATGAGTGGAGCCTATAATTTGGTGTTTGGTAATAGGAGAACAACAAGGGATATGACATTTGATAATTGGTAGGAGTATTACAATGTGATGCTCCAAGACTATCTAATAATTTTTTCAATGGGAATTGAATCTCAAACTTAATGCTTCATGAGGCACTAAGGGCCAAGTGGTAAGTAATATCAGTTTTAGTTCTAAATAGCTACATTGTGTGGTAAATAATATCAATTTTAGTTTTAAATAGATACATTAAATAAGATTAAGGTAAGAGATAGTATTAATTACTTGGCTAGTTTGGCTCCTTTAGGAGTGTGAAAGCTGTTGATGAGGTAGGCAGTTGCAGTTCCACTAGGGTATGTTAACTTGTACTTGAGTATCATCATCTGAGGAGGAGAGGAAAAACAATTCAAAAAAAATTACAAATTAAAAAGCTTATCAATAAAATATATTATTAAAATTAAAATTGGTTTGTTGTAATAATCTATTATTATTATACCTTTCTAAGGGGGACAATTGAAAAGAGACCAACAAAGCTGACAAGAAAGAGAAAATCAATCATCCAACCCAAAGATAGATTCTTCACATTGATTGGGTTGCTTGCTTCATCTGCTTGAGCTGCAATACGTCCACTCATTCCTAGTAGATAACTTGCAGTCTCACCTGATATATATCCAAAAATTATTAGCAAAAACACAAACAAAACAATGTTCTGTAACAAATATGGTTGAAGTAAAAGAAACCATTTAAAGATTATTAGGCCTACTGTCAAGGACATATGTGGGCCAATGAGTGTAGTAGCATAGAAATCAAATATAGAATCAGGCATAGAAAATATATGGACGAGCAAGATATTACAAGATTGATTGGTGAAATCTATTTTTAAAAAGAATCATATATGTATTTTTGATTTCTATGTTTCTAAACGTTGTAATATATTTACTAGTAGTCATGTATGCAACAAAAAAAGAGATGAAAACTTCTATTGGAGAATGCTTGATTAATCTCAAACAACTATTAATTGTTTTTCATTGAGGAAAAGTAACTTGAAATTTTCGTACTCCATATTTTGAATATCTAGAATTAATTATGTACAAGTGCCATATAATTAGTGTGGTGTTTTTTTATTTTGAATATCCAGATCATCAGCATTTAGTAAAAGATCAGATTGTTTCTACATGTACGGAATGATGAATTATTGCCAATCCACATCCTAATACTAAACCAAATAATTAGTCGCTACAAATGAAATCATATTGAAATCTTACACAACTCAATAAACTTTTTAACATTCAATCTAGAAAGAAAAAAAATGGCAATATGGAGTCCCAATATCACACCAAGAGACAAAGAGATATACGCTTGTTTCTATCTGCCAAAGATGAATTGATTAAGTGATGATGACTATCAACAGTCAACAAATAAGGAAAAGTGTAAATGATACCTTTAGAAAATGATATTTAGCCACCCTCTGGACCCTGTGACTGATGGACCCTTCTTCTGGTTTCTGAACAATACTCAGTCAATTCAGTTTCAATTTCAGTCAGTCAGTTCAGTATTTCATTCAGTTCGATTATCAGTCAATTATCAGTCATTATCAGTTTCGTTTAACAGTAATCGGTCAGTCATTAATCAGTAAACAGTATGAGGGTTGTTACAATACCAAAATAAATGGACAAATTTTGTACTCAAGTTCTATCCAAGTAGATACCAAAGAAAGAAAGTGACAAAATCACCTGGCCTATATTAATTCAAATACCTATAACAATGCTTACCTTCTTTTAGAAGCTTGGAATTGTGCCAGCTTCAGCACTCTTTTGCTGCTTCTCTTTGAAAATATTAAGCAATATTCTCTTTGTCTTAAGCTCTATAAATCAAAGCACAACGTATATAGTTATACTACTAGAGAAGCATGCACGTGGTAATCATGGCCATGTTTACATCTGCTATGTAATTCATGCACAAAATGCGTATATACAAGCCACCAATAACAGCTGATAAAGAAATCCCATTTTGAGATAACTAACTAACATAAATATGTTGTCAACATGCAATCTATAATCCATACCAACATGAATTAACATTAGCATTACCTTACCATCAAGCCTGACCAGGAAAAAAAAATCTTGAAAATGTATAATCCATACCCACATGAATAATTCCCCTACCGTGGATGACCCACAAACCCCGGAACAGAATTTTGAGCCTCAACCTCCCCAAATCATCAACACCTAATTTGGATTGAATGATTTCAAACACTAAGCATAACATATAAAAATTAAAATCTGCCTAGTAGATGAAATATAGGCTCCATAATTTGCCATATAGATTATCATGAATCTAAGGGAAAACGCATAGATAATAAAAAAGTGTAATGATGCATATAATATACACAAAAACTAGGGCAAAAAAAAAAGGGGTTTACAAAGAGAGAGCATTTTACCGTAAAATTTTCATCATCATTCTTATTTTTCAGTGTTTGGCTAAAAATTAAAAGATAAAATAAAAATAATAAAAGTTTCCCATTGACACATTTTATCGAACATTTGACATACAAGGAAAATGGTACGATAAGAATCACAATATCAACAAGCTATTCCAACAACAAAAAAATTCCATAAAAAATGAATGGTTCATTGGTTACAAAGAGTGCAGTGCACGTGGTTAAGGTCAACTAGCATATCAAAAGTTCATGGGGTTGGGGAAGGAATTGAAGAACTTACAGTGAATGAGAAAACATAAACTGAGAGAGAGAAGCAGCAACGGTGAGAGGAGAAGCAACGCTGGAAAGGCCAACGACGGCGACTAGCAAGAGCAGCGGCGACGCCAATCAGCAAGGAAAGGAGGAGGAGCAAGAGGGGAGATGGAGAGGCACGTTGATCAGTGGCCATCAACGACAGAGGCGAGATGGAGAGCCGCAAGAAACCCTAGAAAGAAATTGCCCAGCTCTATCTCTCTCTACCAAAGTAATTTCATGAGCTTATATACAATATGGGAATAATTATTTAATATAAAAATTAAATTGAAAAATTATATATAATCACACCAAACTGTGATGAAAATAAATATTTATAATCACACTTATTTAAAATGTGTGATTGAAAAAAAATATTATCACACTCATTAAATTAAGTGTGATTAAAAAATCATTTTAATTTTTTTAATCACATTTCTAATAAAAGTGAGATATTTTTAATTCTTCTTATGTGATCTTAAATCACATGTTAATTAGAAGATGTGATTAAAAAATATAAATACAATCACACATAATTGAAAAGTGACATAAAAAATAAATAGTATCACACTTAATCAAATCAAGTGTAATTAAAATATTAATCTAATTTTTTTTATCACACTTCTAATAAAAGTGAGATATTTTCGTTTGTTAAAGTGTGATCTAATCACACTCATTTAAAAAGTATGATTAAAAAGTAGTAGTGTATATATAATCACACTTTAATTAGAATGTGTAATTAAAAAATATATAAATAATCACATTTTAATTAGAATGTGTGATTAAAATATATATAAATAATCACACTTATTTAAAAAGTGTGATTAAAAAGTAATAGTGTATATATAATCACACTTTAATTAGAATGTATGATTAAAGATATATATAAATAATCACACTTTAATTAGAATGTGTGATTAAAATATATATATATAATCACACTCATTTAAAAAATGTGATTAAAAAGTAGTAGGATATATATAATCACACTTTAAATAGAAGGTGTGATTAAAAAATATATAAATAATCACACTTATTTAAAAAGTGTGATTAAAAAGTAATAGTGTGCACTTTAATTAGAATGTGTGATTAAAAATATATATATATATATATATAATCACACTTATTTAAAAAGTGTGATTAAAAAGTAACAGTATATATGTAATCTGTACGCGAAAGAAATAAATCTTCTCGTATAATCCTGTTGATCAAGTCTGCGCTCCTCCAAACGTCGTCGCTTTTTTCCCTGAAAACATAAACGTGAGCTAGCCGGCGGGTGTGTACCGGAAATCTCTCCAATGCCTAAGTCAGCAAAATAGACAAGTAAACAAAAGCTCTGTGTATTCAGGAATCAAAGTTGGGATACCTGTACATAAGTCTGATCATGAGCTTTTATAAACTTTACTTGGCACAATCCTAAAAGGATTCCAACTCTTCCTATGAGAGTCCTCCTAGGAATCACACACCCTACTCACTACCAACCAAGTAAGATGATTTACACAATCCCAGTAGGACTCTAACTCTCCTTAGCAGAGTCCTACTAGGAATCTCATCACTGCAAGCCAAGTGAGATGGCTGAACCTTTTACCTCAGTTATACATTTTCGCCCGAACTGCTTTATCTCGGTCCCCTACCCTTCGGACCGTGTGATCGAAAGTCGATCTAACGGATGCCACCCTGCCGAGCTATACACAGCTCGGCCCTCGCCATTGATGCTACCTCATTTTAATAAGCTGCTGCAACCACAACAAGCTAAATTACCTCGATCACACGCTTAAGTAATGATGTAGATGGCGCCTGGCCGAGTTATACCAAGCCCGACATCCTTCACCAATACCTCGGCTAACCACCAGGCCTACTTATTTCGGCTGACATCTTTACCTCGGCTAACATTGCGGTCAGCCAAGTTACTTCGGCTCTGTGATACTTTAAGCACTACCACCAGTCTTGACTTTGAGATGACGCCCTGCAGAGCTATCGTTTAGCTCGGTCCTCTTTCTACCGATACCTCTGTCCATAGTTCGGCCCAAATCCAAAATATGAGATGTCTTCTTGGCCTAAGACCGAGCTACACCAGCCCTTATCTCGACCCATTACATGGTCCAACTCCCAAAGAAGACACTTCCTAGCTCGGCCCAATTTGTTTACAAATTACCCTCTCAATTGCCCCTTAATTCCATCTGCGTAGCATGATTGGGATTATTTTTCCTTCAGCCGAGCTAAGAAGTTGTTCGGTTTCACAGCTTGTTCGGTTCCAATAAGCGTTGTCAGTTGCTCAGCATGTCTTTCCACTAATCTGGTACGACGTTATTCCTAGGATACATGGCGTGCCCCCAATATCCTTGTTCTCCTTGTTACCATCGTCATGCCAAAAATTTGAATAGCCCTGATTTTTTGCCTTTAACGTATATATCCTTCGTGTTTGTATACGTCGAGCCGTTCTCTCTGTGTCTCGCCGAACAGACTAACTCGGTTTATACTAACCTTGCCAACTTATTTTGGCCGAGGTAAGCATCATCTTGATCAAAGAGTTTAAAAATTCGTTGGTCAAACCTGCCAACCTGCTTTGGCCGAGGTAACCATCATCCCGGCCAAATAGTTCCAAAAATTTTGTTGGTCATACCTGCTAACCTACTTTGGCCGAGGTAACCATCATCCTGGCCAAATAGTTCAAAAATTTGTTGGTCATACCTAACAACCTGCTTTGGCCGAGGTAACCATCATCCCGGCCAAATAGTTCAAAAATTTGTTGGTCATACCTGACAACCTGCTTTGGCCGAGGTAACCATCATCCCGGCCAAATAGTTCAAAAATTTGTTGGTCATACCTGCCAACTTCCTGCAGCCTAGATCCTTATCTCGGCTTAGGAGAAGTGTTGGTTTTTCCAGCCAACCTCTAAGTTGGTTATTCCGACCAACCT